GTTGGATTTTCCTTGTTTTTCTTGGAAACATTTCTGAGGTTGTGGGTGATTCAGGTCAGTGAAGCAACTTTCTTCTCTTTTCTCTTTATTTATGTTCATACTGATAGTAACTATGTTTCCTCGTATTTATCATCTTCTTTATTTAAATATTTATTATTATTATATACCTTAAAAGAAGAGAAATAACCTTAGCATGGCATATATTTGTAATTAATGACGCATGTATAGTGTACAAAATTTCTCAAGAAAAAACCCTTAAGTACTATTGAACTTCAATTAAAATATACTTATTCTCTCAAACTATATGTTATGCTTATGTTAAATAAAATCAATAATTTAACACATTGAATTGACTTTCCCTTGTAGAAATTCACATTCTAATTCTTGGATTACATAATAAATATGCATTTGCATAAGAGGACCTGCTTCAAAATGACTTCAAACTAAGGTTTGAATTGAACATAATTATATATTATTATTGCTTTGTGTGCGTATGTGTTTATTAATAAATATATTTCATTATTTTTTAACAGAAGAACACGTTATAATCCATGAGAGTAGAAAAACCAAATATAACCACTTGAATGCTGATCAAAAGAGAACTTACATTCAATAAGTCGTTGATAATCATAAAAAGAGGAAAATGAATGACTTTGCCGGCAGTAGTTCCACTAGCACGCGATAACGTAAGATTGATTTATTCTGTGAAGCGCAATAGCGAGAATACGAGATTGGAGGTTTGCATAGATTTCTTTTATAATTAATTAAAATAATTACATAATTTTATATATCAAAATTGATTTAATACTAAAAACTAATATTTTTTCTAGGGAAAATTAACCATGAACCAGTGTGTTATTTTTTACATAAACTACGCACTCCGAAGTCTTGTTCATTTTGTGTAGCTAAAAAGTTTGAATACGAGCCTCTAACACCTTATTGCCACAACAGTGAAATCAGCCTTGCAGGTATGAATATTACAGACGAGTTATATATCCTTTATACAGTACAACCCAAGAGGCAATTGAGTTTCAAAGACAAACCAGAAAGTATAATAGCATTTTCTCATTCACATCATTTGGGGCAAGATTTGATAGAGAGCTTCCAATTGAGTTTCGAAGACAATTCCAGGAAGTATAATAGGTAAAGCTCGTCATTAGAGACGAAGTTTGAAGCTCGTCACTGGTGACAAAGCTCCTTCAGAAGATGAAGCTCGTCACTGGGGACAAAGCATCCTCAGCAACAAAGAGCTCTGGTACTTGGTTTAAAACCAATTTTTCGGTTCAAATAAACTCTTGAACGGAGTTTAAACTCACACTGAGTTATTAAACTCATTAAGAGTTCTGTCTAACTTGCCATGCAAGTTTCATCGACCGTGTTCCAGTGAAGTGAAATGTCGGATTGTCAACGAGAAGCAAATTCGACACTAACATCAAGAGAGGCATCTCATCGCTACCGCGAAGAACCCAGGTTAAATAAAGGGAAGGATCTCTGTTGATCCTTCTCTCTTTTGTAAATCAAGAATCCGATATAAGAAGATTATAATTTTTTTTCTAAGCTAGTTAGAGAGATATTGTATCGAGAGAATTATAATTAATTCTTTTTTTTTTTTGAGTTTGTCAGAAGGAATAATACAAACACATTCCTCAATTGTCTTCTTTCAATTTTTCCCACAAACAATGAGTATAATCAAAATCAAACTCAAATTAATCTAGCATATGTAAATATGACAATTTAAGTATAAACAAGCTAGATAATTGAGTTGAGAAAACTTTTCTAAAATCACAAAGAGATGTAGATGAGGGGATAAGGTTGGATTCCTCAAACCGAAAATGTAAGCCTCTTCTTTGTGAAAACTTCTTCACACAAAACAAGCTTGAAACAAACTCTTAAACACCCTTAAACACTTGTAAAACTTGTTATAAAACTTTTCTTAAGTAGTTAGAATATTTAAGGAAAGAAGATATATAGGGTGGAAGAAACCAGCCCAAGAAACCATCACAAAACAACAAAACCAATAAAAAATACAAAATCTGGAAAATAGTTGTTACTGTGACAACGACTCTATTGTAAGTCGATTTATGATAGGTATGAGTTGACTTATATAGTATAAGTCAACTTGTTATATTATGAGTCGACTCGGTAGATTAAAAACACTATCTGCGCAAACACTTTATAAGTCGACTTGGTACTGTAGCAAGTCGACTTAAAACATACACAATCAACATCAACTTTAAACCTTGTTTAAAAATATCAAACAAATTCAAAAAATGTAAAGCTTTAGAAAATACTTGTAAACATGAAAATAAACATGTTACAAAAACAATTTTTCAAATTGCACTTCCCATTTGTGAAATCTCTTTATTTTTCAAAAACTCAAAAATATGAACTTCTTAAAAACTTGATTTTTACAAAATGAGTTTAGGCAGGTTTCGAAATTCTTTTAAATGGATTAATGGACTTTATAAAAAATGTTTAATAGTTATAATCAAGTCTTTAATCCGTAAACAAGTTATTTTCCCAAAAACGATAAAACATGGTAAATATGAAACATATGAGTATATATGTGAAAATGTCTATTGTTTCATATTTGTATAGCTAAACCAAAAACAACTTATCCACATAAATAAATGTATTAAATGTATCCATTGTTTAATACTTGTATGGCAAAAACATGTGGTTGTGAATGAATCGAAAAATGGATAAACCAAGAAATCGTGTGTGTATAGTTTGAGCTTTAAGCATTAACACACAAAGTATAAACCTAAACTATTATACCCAAGCTATAGTTCTTCATGACGTTTGATCTTGAGTGTGGATGAAGCTTGATCTTGAATCTTTGACTTGAATTGTATTGGCTTCATTCCGGTATTCCGCTAACCTCCATTAAATGACATAGTTACGACGCAATTCCAACCGACCTCAAACATCAATGTTTGTCTAGAATGCCTAATAACAAACACAAATACTAGACAAACAATGTTAGAGATTGTTTTAAATCATCAAAACAATATTAGGGAGTAGGCTCATAAATATGAGACCTAACCAAATGTACATGAGTCAATTGAGTTAACATTGACTAAGAACATATCTATTAAAGAATCAAAAGCTGAGTTCCTATTTGATAAGATATTGAACAACTTTGCCTCAATCAAAGAGGCAATTTTCGGGGAGGATACAAGAAATATTAGTAAGAATTTGCAAAAACTTTAATTTTATTTTTTTAAAATTATAAATGAATTTAAAACTTGTTATATATTTATGTGCAGATGTTCTTGCAAATAGTAGCAAATGTCAAACTTATGATCAACTACGTTATAAGATATAGTAAGGCAGACACGAGGAGGGACATCATTATAATAGATAAAGATTATGCAAACATACTATTATTTCACAATAAATTAATTATTAAAAATATAATATATTAAAAAATTTTGCTTTTTTTACCTTATATAGTGGGATAACATTATGTGTAACTTTATTTGGAGATTTAGCTAAATATGAAGGATCTTATTGAAGACAATATCAATGAGACGCCTATAATAGCACTATCAGATTTTAAAATCTCAATGTACAAAGGTAACATATTTTTATTATTGAATTGTAAATTAAATATCAATAAATATCAAATTCTAATTATAACTATGATATATCCAGGGGAGATGTGTATGACTTTGCAAATTGCGTCAACAATATGAATCTACCCTGAAATGCAGCTTGCTAAGGACATGCAAGAATGATAATTCAAAAAAGAAAAAACAATGTAACTTAATAAATTAAAGTTTTAAATTTTTAAACTAATATGCAGGGCTCATTCAAAAGATGATATTAAGACCAATGATCCTCGATCAAGGCTATTCGGAAAATGCATCAAAAATGAAGATTGTTGACATTATGCAAGCATCACAAAAATCATCAGAGGTAGGATATTATAAATCCTACTATAAAATATTAATGAATCGAGGACTTCAATTTCACAATGAGCTGAGATAAATAAATTTAGTTTCACTGGTAAGATATAAAGTAAACATGAAATGTTTTTTTACTATAGTGCCTAAAAAAATATTGTTTTCATGATAAAATATTTTTAATATATTTCTAAGTTACCCTTGATATCTTTCAACTGCCTTTACAATTAATATTTTTATATTAGTTTTTTTTAAATGCCAAATTTTCATATTCGTTTTTATTTTTTTATTTATTTTGTCATTTCTTCTTTTATTTTCTACATATATATATAAACTTTGATTATAACTAACTAAATTTTTACAACTATAAATGCACAATATGGTACCTTTACGGGAAAAATAACTAACATCTTAAATAGGCGTGAGAATTGGTACTACTCTTGCAAAGGCTGCAACAAAAAAAAATAGAAAAAGATATTTTTGACAAATGTTAAAAATACTGAAGACATTATACCAAGGTTAAATACTATCAATTATTAATGAAAGAAAAATGTACAAATTAAATATAAAAATATCATCTGATGCACAATGATAATACAAAATGTAGGTATGTAATTAAAATCATAGTTGACGATAAGACAGATAGCACAAGAGTGACACTTTTTGACCCAGCGGAAACTCTGATAGGATGCAAGGCTCAGAAAACTCATCGCTGATATAAAAGAGGTAACTTCTTACTTTATTACATTTTAAATACATGAAACCATATATTTCATATATAAGAACTTAATTGTTTCCTCATTAAAATAGAAAAGTAATCAAAGTTCGTTCTTCCAAAAGTTCGTGCTTGCTAAACATAGGAAAGATATCCAAGTTCCTTGTGAAGTTGGATGAAAATGATGGGGTCTCCTTTGAACCGTTTGATCCTAATTGTTTTATTCAAAAAATAATTTGTGACCCCACTCACCAACAAAATCAACAAAACCATTCCAACCACCCACCTAAAAATTTTAGATTCTCGTTTTGTCTCTGCTACTACGGTACTACCCTCCCTCCTCCATTATAAAAACCAATGCACCCAGTAAGCAGCAACACAAAAGCAACCCAAAATAAATAAATAAAAAATGTCAACTCTTCAAAACTCTTCATTCCTCTTCCCCAAATCCCCACCCAAACCCAAGAAAACCCAGACCCGAATCAAATCATCCCACAACTTCTTGGACCTCAAGCCCGAATCCAAACCCGAAACCCTCTCCATCGACATCCAGTACCACGAGCCCAGACTCAAACCCAGCTGTTATGACGCCGTCGTTATCGGGTGCGGGCCGTCCGGCCTCCGGCTAGCGGAGCAGGCCAGCGGTCGTGGGCTTAAAGTGTGTTGTATCGACCCGGACCCGTTAATGGGCTGGCCCAACAACTATGGGAGTTGGGTTGACGAGTTTGAGGCGATGGGGTTGGGGGATTGTTTGGATCACACGTGGCCTTTGGCGAGTGTGGTGATTGATGATGGGAGGAGGAAGGATCTGGACCGTCCGTACGGGAGAGTGGCGAGGGGGAGGTTGAAGAGGAGGCTGATGGAGGGGTGCGTTAAGAATGGGGTGAGGTTTCATAAGGCCAAAGCGTGGGCTTTGGAGCATGGGGTACGTCTGTGTTCTGAAAAATAGGATTTTTGAGCGGTTTAACAACAGATTTAAAAAAAGACAAGGTTAAAAAAATGTTCTAAAAAATGGTATTCAGAATGTTAGCATAAGAATTTCCGACGCGGAATTCTGTTGTTTCCTCGCATTGGGGATTGAAATGCAACTTTTAGAAAACTTAGGGTATGTAGGTGTAGGGCTCTAAACTTTGGATAGTTTGGTGCAGTATCGATCAACTGTGGGTATTTAAGTCTAGGTTTTAAACTTCGGGTGTTGTTGTGTAATTAATATCGGGAAAACTTTGGGTGTTTATGTGTAATTTACCCGCTTATTTACTACTTTTTGGTTTCTAATTAGGGTTAAATTCAAAAGAGCCCTTGAATTTTGGTT